GCCTGGTCAGCCCGGTCTCCTCTACCATCTCTACCCTACTTTGCTGTTTATATATGTTCATGGCCCTTGTTATATTGTTACTTTGTGTTTTGTTCCATTAAACCTCCTTTTTTTACTAGCACCTGGGTCAGCAGTCTTGAGTCCTCTCTCAGTTCTCCCTCACCCTCCAGGTGAGGGGGACTAACCATAACATTCAGATTTATTGCCCAGTTTAAATATGTTTTAGAAAAGTAGCTAAAACGTAATTACAAGTAATAAGTCACATTACTTTGAAGTAAGTAAAGTTCTTACATTACATAACAGGGTAACTAGAAATATGTAACCTATTACATTTCAAAAGTAACCTTCCCAGCACTGCTGATAAATATACATATATAAATTATAAATGTTTATATAAATTTATGTTGGAATCTTGGACATTAATTTCTGGTAAGTTAGGAATTGTAATTAGTTTAGCAGTTATTTTCAGGATCTTGATAGTATTTGGTTTTGTGTGTTTTTTATTGAAATCTGTTAAATAGCCTACTTGACTTTCAATGCCTGAAAACATGTTAGATCAAGGTAACAAATTAATTAAATTTGTAGTTACAGTAAGTCAGGGGCGCCGCTAGCAGTTTTGGTCCCTATGAAAAAAATTGAAGTGGGCCCTCTACCTCACCCATCTGTGGGCCCCCAAAGTTCGTGGGCCCTTAGAATCGTCCTAACTCCGCCCCCCCAACGGTGCCCGTGCAGTAAGTTAAGTAGCACGTATATTAAATACATGATTTTGCTGCAAAATACATAAATGGTCTATGAGACAAAAGGCCCTTGGGCACAAACAGGCAATAGGTTCTTTGGATCATGTTGTGTCTCTCTCTATAGTCTTAAACCTTCACTTTGTAGTTGGTTTGCATCTGTTTCTTGTTGTAGCTCTACCCTCACTGCTCACCTTGCAGCGCAGCAGTGAGCAGCAGTCAGCACCCATTGGTTGGTAATCAGTGATCCTCCACAGAAGTGGGCCCCAGACTGTTGCAGACTGACCTGCCAGGGCCAGCTGCCTGGAGAGGCCGTCTGTCCTCCAACAATCCTGGTGTTGAGTGGAGGCTTACCACACACTGATGACACACAACAAAAACAAAGAGTGAGCGGTACTCTATCATCCCTGGATCGTGGCTTGTGTTTGCTGGTTGAGGATTATGATCCATGGAGTGTGTTGGGATGCTCTGAGCTGTGAGCCAAGATTCCTTAGAAATGGTAAATGTTTTCTCATTGTCATAATTGATCAAGACATTTAATTATTTCTAACTGTAGTCTTGAAGTTACATTATGTAATTTTTTCAAATGGGTTTTTGTTTTATTTTGTTTTGGTAAAAATATCCACTAAAATATATCTTAATCAGGAGAGTTGCTGTTGACACTGTGTGACCATGGTTTGGCATTCACCATGGGCTGGGTGGAACCGAGCAGAGTGTAGTAAGCAGGGAGAGGGAGGGCTGATTGATTCTACAATCTCATGCTAGGGTTAGCTTAATTTTAAAATGCTACAAGCTGTACCTTTAAGTCTGGGATTGACAGAAAATAGCAACAACAATGACATTACAAACACTGCTATCCACCAAAGGCCCCACCAACATATTTAAAAAGTCACAAATGATAGAAGATGAAGAAGTATATATTTTTGATTTGATTTGATTTGATTTGATTTATTCTTTCAAGCATGTAAAAACAGTTGATATGACAACACACATAATTTTACACATTATCCAATATCAATTTGCTTATACCTAGTACATGCTTGAATGGAGTAGGAAGAAGTCAGACTTATCCAGTCCTACCCCATGACATCATCTTACCATCACTGGTTTGCAAGCAGTAAATAATTCACTTCTACACACACACATATTATACTAAAAAAGATTATAACAGTGTTAACATTCTTGCATCACACAAGTAATATACTAAAGAATTATTACAAAATGTACACCACACCCACAATTGTCCATGTAATTAATCATTGAGCCTGTTCTTGCATATATCTTGATTGACACATACCTTTTATATTTATGTTTAAACTCGTCAATTCTATTACTATTTTTTATGTCTACACTTAAATTATTCCATAGTTTTACCCCAC